GATATGCCAGATAGAATGACAGATAGTATGCCAGACAAAATGCCAGAAGATATGCCAGATAGAATGCCAGGTAGATGCCAGGTGGGGATCACTCGAAGTAAAGTAATTATTATTATGTATACAATATTTGTTTTTTAATATATAGTGATACATTGGGCACAGGCAATCTCCATGCATTATGCGTCTTTTTGAACTTTGTTGCAGAACGCAGTCATCACTTAGCATTGATGTTCCTCACGTTTATTTGTTGGATGAGGTTGTTTCAGAGCACGCATTTGAGTGCACAAGATGTTCTAATCAATTTATGTTCATGTTTGAGTCGTACATGCACTTGGAAAGTAATGTTTTGTTGTTTGTTGCATGCTTATACCGTGACCAAGATCACACCTTGCGGGGTCCATATGACTCTGTTCCTCGATTTGGAGACAGAGTTATTGTTTCAAGGAACTGTTTTTATTGCGTGCATGGAGGATGTCTGGCTTGCTAGACGCTAGTGCAATTGTGGGTGCGAGTGGAGAAGGAATACTCTACTGATGGCCCACAGCTGCATGATGTGTTCGTCCCCATCCAGACACGCGCCGTGGTTTCCGGCGAGTCGCCGTTTTCTCCAGGTCAACGTCACCTCCAAGTCCAGTCCTAGAGGCGGTCACAGGTTGTGCATGCCGAGTGTTTGCGTTTAGAGAACGGTGTGAACTCAAGTTTGATGTGCGCATTTCCACCTCCACAGGTGCTACAAGGCCTGCGCTAGTTCAGTCCACCTGTGTTGGACTGAGGGCGGCTGTGCCACTCTCTCTCTGTCTCTAAACAAGACGCACGCAGCAATAGCCTGAAGAAAGGTCTATTTGGTTTCTGAGTCCATGCGAACATGTTTGCTTCGATGCATTTAGAACATGCGCCTGTTCCGACTGTTCCACCAAGCAAGTGTTGCCATGCATGGTGATGGGTCGGTTGCATGCGGCCCAACGGAACTGAGTTTTTGAGAGGTTTTGTTGTTTTTACATGATTGGCCATGTTGGCACAAAAAAAACAGGTCAGTCGGGGGGTTGTCTAACCAAAAAAGGAGGGTCAGATTTGAACACCCATTGGCCCACATCGGGACACCTGTCATTCAGGTTCTTCTCATGAAGCTCACTGGAGTTGACCAGGAGTGACATAACCTCTTTGCTTAACGCTGCTGCTTCAAAGGGGGTCCTCTTTAATCCTTGGCCTGGTTAAACCCACACCCCTCCGTGCTCGGTTCTTACACTGCAGTCCTTTTTCTTGCAAGGCTGATTCCTCGGCGGAGATGAGCCGGGAGATTGCAGAGCAGGCGACTGTCTTCCTCTTCAGTGGCTTCGATGGGATAGGGATTGACGATCACCGGGTCACTTTAAATGTATTATTGAGGGGGTGTACACCCTATAAAACAAATAGTACGTTTCCTGGTCTCCAGCGAAAAGATCCGCCAAAGTGCTTAGGGACGAAAACATGTGCGCAAGGGAGAACCCTTGAGTCACTTGAGTATACTAAAGTGGCAATAGAAAGGCAAAATACTTGCCCGAGAAAGTGACGGGTATTCCTTGGGAAGACATATGGGAACAGATGTGATGGGAACAGCGTCTATAGCTTGGCCGATCCTTGCTTGTCTATAGCTTGGTCACAATCCCATACACTCCATGCAACTGGCATATATGCCGCCCCATTGACCCCCTGGCACCACCCCAATTGATCGGCAGTCCTATGGCAGTCCCAGACAGCTCGTGTTTGGGAATGTTCTTTCCGACCTTTCAGGCTGTATTTAAAAAACTGGTTGCTATTTCTTTATATATAATATATAGCTTCTTGTTTCTAGTAGCGAACCTTGTTCCTAGTAGTAAGGCCAGGAGCCCCTAGTAGCTTCTTGTTCCTAGTAGTAAGGCCAGGAGCCCCTAGTAGCGTCCTTATGTTGACTTGGGGAGGATTCATCTTGTCAGGCGGAGAAAGCCACACCCGATGGGCTCGGGCCCCCCCAAACCTAGTGCGGAGAAAGCCGTCTACCGCAGCGAGTCGGTCGACCGCGGTGAGGTGTTCGGTCAACCGCGAGAGCTGATTGCAAAAGACTTTGAATTGCCCACTTTTGTTGAGGAAAAAGGATAAAAACAACACATGGAAATTACATGCAACAAATTCGCAATCGAGTTCTGAGTCTGGTAGTGGTACGCAAAAAACAACCTCAATTTGTATAGCCAGAGGGGGTCGGATGAGAATTGGTTTTGAGGGGTCCCTTTTTCAGAGGGGTACCAACTAACCAACCTGACAGAATGGAACATGAGAATTGCTCGAGTTCGCAACATTGTTTCCAAAAGGTTTGGTCATTTTATGCAGTGGGCGATGTGATTGCGCGTGTCGGTCCACAGTCTCGGTCCATTCCTTCAACAAGCCCCCCCCACCCCGCCCCACACACACAGAGACACGGACGCTCACACACAGACACAGACACACCCCCGCACACACCAGCCAGAGTGGGTAAACGTGTTGAGCAATTTCGACAAACTTGTATAGTGTCTGATTCAATGTTTTGCATGCTTCGTCATACAGGTTCAGGTTCCCCATTCATTCTTTGCTGGCAATACGGCATACAAGTTGGATAGAGATGCCTAAACAGATTGCTGGATGCCAAGATACTTTATCAATCATCAACCTCTATATCAACCTCACCAACTGTGTAAGATACCATCCACCTCTCACCGGTATGTATTCACTATCCTCTCACCAGGTTACACGTCATGCCCGGTCCGGACGTCATGGACTCGGCTGGGCCGGCAACTCAATTGGGCAAGTGTGATGGATGCGAGCGCTTGGTTCATGAGAACAGATCAAATTCGTGAGTCATTCGATAGAGGGATTCTCAACATTTATCGAACAACACGAGGGTACACCCCTCACATCCCCTCACCGTAACATACCGTCACCCTGTTGGTCAATTCGTGGCTTTCCAACTGTTCAGATCTTCCCCAAAGTGCAAGTAAGCCCAGATGCTACAGTAAGCCCATGCATGTCCATGCAAGCTAGCCTAAGCATGCCTAAGCTCATCCGGCTTTCCCGGATCGGAGACCGTTACCATGTCCTCGCCGCCCAGGGCTGAGCGACGCACCCTCGACTTCACCGAGACCTGCGAGGGAGGCGGTCTCGACCTGCGGGAAGTAGCTGCTCGAGACGGCGTCGCAACGGATGAGAGGGGACAAGTGCAGGTGTGTGGAACAGCCATTATATATAATAGATTATAATTTGTAGTCCATGATCACGACTGTTCCAACGCAGATGAGCTCTTTGCTTCAATGTCGCCGACGGTTTGGGGGCGAAGAGTTATTTCGGAGCCGTAGTTCATGTATAGCAACGCAGCTCTTTTGGGGTGTAGGTGTAGCATTTCTTGGTGTTTGTTTTGTTCATGCATAGCAACATTTCACGTGTATAGTTCCATGATTATGAGGTCTTCAATGGGTTGTGGCCAAGTGCCGATCGTCAGAGCGGCTCTAGGGATGTTCAACTCTTCGTGCGGGCACTGAGATGTCAACGGAGGTTTGGCAGATTGTGTGCTGTCATTCCATTTCAGGAATGATTGCACCCTGACTCAAAAAATTGTGTTTGATCCTGTATCTAAGGAAAGCAGTCTTCCAAGGGACCATTTTATACTTTATGTCGGTGAGATGGAGTGTATTCCAATAAGTGTCTTAACCTACCAAGCATCAGTATGCTCCTTACATTCCACAATTCATTCGGTTTATGGTTCTTCTGCAAGCTTGATCGGATCCCGGGACATGCATAAATACTATATAATTCGTCAAGCTAGACGGCCACCATCCGCAACCCATACCCCTGCAGAGAACATTGACCCTGCAAACCTGTGGTTTGCCCGTACAGGAAACAGGCTTCCTAAGACTCCTAAGATCCATTTTAGTTTGTTTGCAGGAATATATGCAATTGGTCTTAGATCAGGAAGTGCTCTTTTGAAACTTCTCTTTCTAGGTGGATTTCATATTATGCTCCTTTTGCCCTGATCGGTTTGTCTTTGGCGTATGGACATGTTCTTGAGAACATGCTCCCAACTGGGGGCCTGTCGCCTCTCCTGTCGCCCTGTCGTTCCCGGCCACTGAGTTTGTGTCCACATGGTCGGGGCCGCCGGTCCGCCGGTCGGGGCGGCAGAGACTTGACCAGTCGCTTGCAGAACATCCCTGGGTAAACTGATGACTCATACCGACTCATACTGGGGAAAAAACACGGTTACTTTTTCTCGACTGTATACTTCTGATGTGTGAAAGATGACTGGCCTCACAGGTCTGACCCAACGAATTCCGCGTACAAATCCCGCGGACCCTTTAGGGAACGTCTCTCTCTCTCTCTCTGTATCGCCGGAGCCGAGCCTCGCCTTGCAGCGCATGGTTATGAGTGGCTCGATGGCTGGAGGTTCAAAGGTCGAAAGGCATCGATAGACGATAGACTTCTCTAGACATCTCTAGACCATGATGGACCTTTTGGCTTTGTTCGCCCACCTAGTGCTTGATTTTTGTTCAACGTTCCAGAAGAATCTACAGTAAGAAGATCACTGCAGAGAGACAGCTGACTGCGGCAGTTGGCGCCTTCATGAAGGTTATTTGGTTCAGCAGCAGTTTTCGACGAGCAACTACCCCACTGTTGCACAAACTGGGGTGTAAAAAAGGCCTAGACACGTGGCCCAGTTGGTAGAGTGATGGCTGTATGTCTTGTCACCACAGTCAACGCCGGCGGCAGTAGTTTGTGCCACCAAGACGAGCAGGACTCTATCCACCTTTCTATGCTCACAAATCTCACGGTTTGGGTAGCTTGGCACTTCCATTCAGATCCGCTGCACTTGCTACGCTACTCAGGAGGCAATATGAATTCGGTAGATTTTTGTTCAGGTGTCTCCTCGTTGGTGCCCAAAAGATATGTGTCAATAACGGTTGCACAGTCTTCAAGTCACAGGTTACAGTGAGTAATTGGTCATCCCTCTGATCCTTCTCCTTCGACGGATACTGCATATGTTAATTATTTTAGGACCCTTGATTCTGAAGCATTAAATGATCATGTTGATCTGATTTTGGTGCTTCACTGTGGACCGGAAGCCTGGATGGGGGATAAGTCAACGACCAGTCAACGGTCTGGACCGTCTGGTCCGACCGTCCCAAGGTCCGACCGCTTCGACCGATGAGCCAGTCCATTCGGGCAGAGGACCCCAGCCGACGGGAGGAGAGGTCTCTTGCTCCTCGATCTCACCTGCGCAAGCCATGAGGCAAGGAGGAACCAAAAGAAAACAGGTGATTCCTGTGGAAGTTGAGCATCGGTGGTTCATGGTGGTACGTTCGGTCCCTGTTGCTGCCAGCTTGATCAAGCATTCGCTGGAAAAAGCAGCGCTTTCCGCTTTTCGCATTTTCTTAGAGCCCAATTCATCTCCGCATTGGTAGCGGAGCCTACCGAATACCGGTGGGCAGGTGCTGTGCCGCACCTAGGGTCAGGGATGGCAACGACGGCCGACATCATCCCTGTTCCCTCATGGGACGGAGCTGAGACTCCTGGTGGCCGAGCCACCCCGCCAGCGGCGGAGCCAGAGGGCGGCGCCCCGACCCGTGGCCGAGCCACGGAGCAACACGGCAGAGACCGTACAGAACGTGGACGCTCCACGCATCGAGGTCGAGGCCGCGGACGAGCACGCCCTGAACTACCACGACCAGCACACTCCCCAGGACATAAAGGAAAAGGTCATGGAGGAAAGAGTTCAAAGGGCAAAGACAAAGGCGCTGGAGCTGGACGAGGCCGACATCCCTACACCATGGACGATGCCTACGAGGTGCTTGATGAAGGTCAATGGAACCAGATCTTCGGACAATGGTCTGCAGTTGCTGGATGGTCAAGTCAGGTGCCCGGCTGGTACCAATCACCTCAAACGGGCATTTGGATGTTCTGGACCGGAGCTCAATGGTTGTCCTATGAGCCATCAACCATGGATGGATCATGGCACCTTCCTCGACGAGAAGCTGAGCAAGCAAAAGGCCGAGAGAAAGGCCCTCCTCCCTCGACTGCATCGACTTTGGAGCACCCGTCACAACACCGTTCAGTAGGTGTTCCACTTCCCGAAGGACATGGACTCCGTGCCAAGGCGGCTCCAAAGGACGCAGCGAAGAAGGAGAAGAAAGACAAGAAGGAAGCCAAGGACAGGAAAGATGGCAGGGACAAGTCAGACCGCAGCGCCAAGGACAAGAAGAAAGATAAGAAGGAGCAGAGGACAAAGACGCCACCTCCACCTTCAGCTGCTGAGAAGGGGGAGAAAGCCGACAAGAAGGAAAAGAAAGACAAGAAGGAGAAGAAGGAACGTCATGAAGATGATCCTCGTCCATCTGGCCGTGACGACTCACAGACTCCTTCGAAGAAGTCCAAGGCAGCGCCTCCGAACCCTGATCCGCCTGGCGAAGATGATGATGAGGAGGAGTACTCCGAGTACACCTACGAGGAGCAGGAAGAGAGTGAAGAGTCAGAGGGATTCGAAGAAGATCCGCCGGTGACACCATCCAATCTCACTGACGACAGCCGTGGCCCGAGGCAGTATCAGAGGAACCCTCGTGATCCACGTCTACGACCACCACCTGGTCCGCCGTCTTCGGATCCGACTTCGTCCAACGTGACATCAACTCCGGCTGCTTCGAATCGCACATCATCAAATCGCACACCATCCAGAGCATCAGGTTCGAGTGCATCTACGGCTTCCACAGGTGAGATCCGTGCCCTCCTGGGCCAACAGGCGAAGAAGCAGCAGGACAGGTCGAAGCCTTCGCTCAGTCAAGTCCGCCTGGAAATGTTCAGGGGTTCAAGATCCCACTTCAAAGAGTGGAAGCGCACCATTGAGGCCCAGCAGGCGCTGTACAGGTTGGATGAGGCCGAATTGGCCATGTTAATTTATCTTTCATGCCAGGGAGAGCCGCGCCAAATCCTGAATCAACTTCAAGTCTCCGAGATGAGGGAGCCAGGAGGACTCAACCGAGTCATGCGGCTGCTTGAGGAGTCCTATGGTGCCAGATCTGACGAACGCTTCGAAGAGCGCCAGGAAGCTTATTTGACGTATCGCCGTGCACCAGGTCAGAGCGTCG